CACTTGGTGCATTAAACCAGTCTTCCCTATGCAGGCCCAGCATCACCAAAGATAGCAACCCGGGATGAAAATTGGAACTACATAAAGTTATATTGAATACTTCCGTGTCTTGCTAATAGTATATTTCTAGGGCAAAGTTGTTTGTTCGGTTTTATGATTTTTATGGGTCTGAAGTTAGATGAATAGAGTCTCATGTTAGACTCATGTTTTAGATATACGGTTACCAAGATGAAAGAATCCGGTTCGAAAGATAATCGACACTAATCTTTGAGAGCATGGACGGGTTTTTCTATATAAGATTATAGGAATTAATAAACAACTTCTAGTTGATGAGCGCTAAATTATCCGCATGGTAAACATTGGGGTGAAGGATGAGATTGTATCTTTCACTATTAGGAGCGTAATTATCTGGTTGATACCGGAATATTCGAATCGATGACCCTATTTTGGGGATCTTTATCAAATTTCGTAAGATAGTTAGCTTGTTATGATATCTCATTAATATACAATCGGCGAATGTCAAGAGCGAAAAGGCGGACAAAACAGACAGAAGAATATTTGCTTCCACAAACAGAGTTGTTCACCGAATGAAATTTGACATTTTTCCACGAAAATAGCCAAAGCTCGTACCAAAATGATATAATCAGTTTTGACGACATAACTAACAAGTTAATGGAATAAATTACCAAGAATCAAGAGATGCAGTGTATAAAATATATTATAATTAGGAGTAACTTCTAATTAACATGGTACTTTCATATTTTTTTGGATGGAAAATGGGAAGACCTGCTTAAATACTAGCGAGTACGGAGGAAGTTATTAAACGTATCGCCGATCGGTATGGTAAATAATTTTTTAGCCAAGAACCAGTACTGATAAATAATTTGAATAGTTTTAGCATGATAAACGAGATATCTCCACTGCATATGAGGTAAACATCAACGGAAATGACACCGTATGTACCTTTACAATTTTTTAAATACATAAAAAACCCGACAATATAACCAAATAATATTTTCTCGGACACTTCTAAAGGACTGACGCAATTTAGACAGGTTTAGGAAAAAATTGTAGGTTCATGGAGCAAGTATGAGAACAAAACACCAACTAATCGTCACCAGCCAAAAGATACTTTAGTAAAAGTATAATTCACATAAAGGCAAAAAAATATTTCTCGGAAGTCCCAAAAAATTTATAAAGACGTAGGAATAGTTTTAATTATATGCTAAGAGGCTGGGCAGTCTAATTAAATTGTAAAAAAATTCTCTACCATAAAGAAGGTAAGACACATTACATTCGGACATATAAGCCCGAAAATACTTGGGTCAACTACGCTAAACGTTTGACGGACACAGTAATAAGCCTTGTTGTAACAGTTCTAGCTTTATATCGAGTATTTATCTACGAAACATTACGAACAGAAAACAATTATTTATCAGAAAACAACAGAAATTAGCAAAAATGTCGATGTTCCAGAATACCTATTAATTATCCCATATGCTTAAACAAGTAGTACTTGTAACAGTTTCATAATTGACTAGCTCGTGTTGAAACAAAATATGAACACCAAACAGTCATTGTTTATGAAGTAAGTCTAAAATTGTTATAATAATAATTAAAAATCACGTACAAATCTTTGATTAACGATATCAAGTGTTAGGGGAATATCTGTGACGGTAGTAGTACTTGGTAGGGCAGCTTTAATTAAAATATAGAAATGAATCGGCAATGACACAAAGGGAGCAATGAATTTACTAAAAAGACGAATAGTCAGTAGTTGATGGAAATTTTTAACAACACAGCAAATTTTTGCAGATTTAAATACTTTTGTCTTTTTCCAAAGACTCTGTCAAATACATACCAGATAGGCAGAACATGAACTGACACAGTAATGAACCAAACACGCTATAAAATAAATAAAAAAAAAAGGACAATTAAACAAAAGCAGAAAAATATTTCCCAGAAGTTGAAAAAAAATTCTAAGGACCTGGGAAATAATTTTTTAGATCTAGAATAATTATCTTTGAGCGTAAAATCAATTAAAAAAAAGTAGAAAGGACGATAGTTTGTTTATATGTCAACTGGTGGTAATAAATGGCTAAAATGTAGCGATTTATTACGAATTTATTTCTAAGTAAATTGAAGTCACGTACAACATTAGCGGTAATAAGAAATCATCAAAAGGACAAGGCGATTATTTATACGCCAAAAATCTACTTAGAGTGTATTTATGGAATGACCACGCGTAAGAAAGTAATAACTCCCAAAGCATGAATAACAGCATGACTCTTTTTAACAATTTTTGGGCATATTTTAACCAAACACAAAGATCTTCGGATCAGCTTACAATAGCTACAGTAACGATGGACAGGAAACATAAAATATCTGACAGTTTATTTAAAGAACTTCTTAGTAGGTCGCTAGTGATAGAAATTTTTTTGCAGTGTCCCGCCCCTGTTTGTACGAAGTAGAAGAAAGATTGATCGACGACTGAGAAAAAAGTACCGACATGTCAAAAAAAACAAAACAATAGGTAAGTAATGACCCTTTGCAAAAAAACCAGAATGGAAGGCAGATTGAAATACTTTCAGATTAAGTTAAAAACTACGTACACCGCGAGCAAAATCAGTAGGTAATGAAATTAATCCGTATTGAACTAAATCTGTCCATGAGTAAGTAAAAAATGAAAATATCACAAGATATTGTTTTTAAGACACATTTAAAGGACCACAAAAACAGAAGTAATTAAAACAACATTTTATGCACTTCTCGCAAGAGTTTGAAAGCAAGAAACTAAAGTGTGGTATCAATCAGAAAGAGATTGCCAGAAGGAAAATATTTTATGGAAAGACAGAAAAGTCTTTCTTAGATGTTGAAAAGAACTTAAAAAGCTTATGAAAACATCGTAATACTCTAACTACGCCAAAACACGTCACCACAAGCTGTTTAAGCAACAAAAAAAGTCAATCAACAAAATAATCAAGTAAAGGACAAAATAATCAAGTAAAAACTATAAGGTCGTATATTCTCGTGCGAAATATAAGAAAAGATATGTGACCACAGAATTAAGGATCTGTTTAATCCTTGTAGCACATGATGGGGCAATGTCCTAGCAAATATAGTAAGGATTAAACAACATTAAAAAAAGTGCCAAACGTCCGAAGCCAATGTAACAATTAGTGGAAGATACATATTCTATCAAAGGATCTTGTTCATCAACGTTTTTGAAATAATTTCGGCGTACGCCAGAGAAGCATTATACCAAGTCCAACGAGTTTACAATCATCATACAATCGTCATAAAGTCTATATGGAGTAATTACTGAGAACGAGATAAGGTTTTTATCGGACGTATAAATGAAATGAGACATGCCGAAGAACGTCTGGTATTTCCAAGCGTCTTTTTATGTGGGATTTATTGTTATTCCATCAATATTCTCAAAGAATAGACAGATTGATTAAAGAGACGAAAAGGAACTAAAATTAGTTTGTTACGACCACATCCGAAAATGAAGGAGAAGCCGAATGGATTTAGATTACGATGGAGAGTATGTCAACTACACGCCATGTAAGAAAAACACTAATTGACGCATTGTGGGACTAAACACTTTATTGAAATCAAGAAAAAAAATATAATATCATAAAATAATAGTTTCTTAGTGACGTTTATATGATGGGACCTTGATAAATCGCTCTCCCATGACATGCTATTAATCTTCATAACTGTTAAGAACTAACCGTCTAAACATGGCGCACTGGCAGAAAGAAAGGAAAACAAAATAAATGTTTTACGTAAATATATACAAAAAAAAATATTAAAAGTCTGAATGAATTTATAACGTCATGGGAGCAGTGCAGATATATTCAGAATCGTTTACAATATGTAAACAAAAGGCCAGATAGGTCTTGTTATGAAATAATTCATACAAAAATGTTGAAGTCATAAAATTTTATCAAGCCTAAAAGATTGTACAGGTCACAATTAAGGAGAACTGTCATGCTACATATCATACATAGTTATGGATTTTAAAGAAAAACCCATATACGTTACTTGGAATGAAAATGGACAAGGACCAAAAAAATAAAATACCAGCAGAATATTGAGAGCGACATAAAATCTAAAAGCGTCAAGAAGCAAATACAATAACGTATGCAGGTCGATTAAGGTGACAAGAGAACCTAGTATTCAGGAAAAAGGTAATTACCAAGACGACGGACAATTCAATTTACCAAGTAACTAAGACAACAGGATATCTAAGGCGACCAGATATCTTGGACAACAATATGACGAAGATGATATGATATCTATGACAGCAAGACATACGGGATAACAACATATCCAAGACGACAATGTTACTAAGGTAACGAAATATCCAAGGCAACGATGTGGCTAAGGCAACGAAATCGCTCAGACAACATGATATCCACGACAAGCAGAAACATAAGACAACGAGAAAATATAGACATCCAGATATCTAACGCAACGACAAATCTAAGCAAATATTATATCTAAGACACAAGATACCTACGACAACGGATATCTACGACAATGGATATCTACGACAACGGATATCTACGACAACGGAAACCAACGAAAACAGAAATCTAACGCAACGAGGTAAATAGAACAACAAGATATCTATGACAACAACATCAATTAAAAGACAACAAGATATCCAGGATAACATAAGACTTAAGACAACAAGACAATAGTGTTTCCATGACAAAAAGTATCTTGAACAACCAAACAAGTATGGAAACTAAATAACTATGATAACAACATTTCTAAGAGAATAGGATATCTAAGACGACAGGATTTCTAAAATGACAATATACCTCAGAATACCTGTAACTCACACAAAATAATACCTTAGACAAACAAATTTTTATGACAACAACATCCCTATGACAACATATTACGGAGGCAACCAAATAGCTAAGACGACAAGTTATCTAAAACAACTGAATATGTAAGACAAGGAGATCGCCAAGACAACAGGAATGGAGGAGAGCAAGATATGCAAGGCAACCATGTATCTAAGACAACTAGATTACCACGGTACCAAGTTATTTATGACAACCAGTTACAAAGACAACCAGTTAACTAGGACAATCAGGTACGTAGCAAAACAAGATATATATGACAACACGATAGTCTAGAAAAGAAGATATCTATGACAACTGCATATGTAAGGTAACATGATATATAAGGTCACAACATATACAGGACATCATGATATCTAAGACAACAAGATCTCCTAGACAACCAGCTAACTATGACTACCAGATAATTATGACTAGGAGACAAATATAACAACTAGATAACTATAACAACTCAATATGTATCAGAACTAGATAACTATGACTAATGCTATCAATATGACAACACAGATCACTATGAATACAAAGATAACGATGACTACCAGATATCTATAACAACCACATAACTATGTCAACTAGTTAACTATGATGAATACATAACCATATCAACTAAAAAAACCTATGACAACAGGATGTATATGTCAATTAGATTTCTATGCCAACAAAAAAAAAATAACTACGACAATTAGACAATTACGACAAATACAACACTATGAAGATCAGTTATCACCATGACTATGATTGAACACCATGACTATGATTAATAACCATGACTATGGTTATTAATCATGACTATGATTAATCATTACGACCGATATTGGACACTATGACTATGATTATTCAATAAGACCACGATCAACCCCTAGACAACCATCCAGACATAGACAACTATTCTCTCCTAGACAACTATCCTCACCAAGACAACCCCATGATCACCAAGACAACCCCATGATCACCAAAACAACCCCATGATCACCAAGACAACGAGATTACAATTGATAATTAGAAAATAAGAATACACAGTCAAGAAAGTAACTAAGACAACGAGGAAGAGGAAACAATAAAAAAAAAAACTTAAAAGAAAATGATATCAATGATACCACAATAACATAGACAACAATACATCAAAGATAAGAACGTATCCAAGACAACCGGGATATCTATGGCAGCAAAAAGAACTATGACAACAGGACACCCGAGGATACTAAGTAAATAAGAAGTCACCAAGAAAACTAGATAATCATGACAGCATAATTACCATGACATTAAAACATAGCTATGGATATTAGCGATCACTATGACAATATTTGATAACCATGACGATTAAAGAATACTAAAAATATAATGATAAAGATGACTATAAAAGACCAAATAAGTAATTACATAGCCAACCAAAGAGGACCACGACAACCATGTTGCCCGACAACCATGTTGCCTACGACAACCATGTTGCCCGACAACCATGTTGCCTACGACAACCATGTTGCCTACGACAACTCTGTAGCCCTCGACAACCCTGTTGCCCTGACTACAGTACCCCAGGAATGAACCCCTCAGTATGAAATTTGTAACAATTTGTAACAATTTGTAACAATTTGTAACATTTGCAAAAATCTGACTAGAAACTTCGGATTTTCAATATTATGATGTTACTGGACATAGAGAACAACATTAGGACCGGACTTTTCCTTCTAAAGTCCGATCCCGACGAGATATACACAATGTTACAAATTGCGAAAAATCCAAAAATGTGACTACCAACAGCGGATTGTCAATATTATGACGTAACTTGACAAGGAGAACAACATTAGGCCCGCACTTTTTGTTCTAAAGTCCGATCCCGACGAGATATACCAATGTTACAAATTGTTACAAATCCAAAAATGGCCATACTCAAGCCGCCTTTTTACATAGTATGACATAAATTAATACGCTGAACAACATTTGACTGAGACATTTTTTTCTAAAATTAAATCCCGACGAGATACTGATCAATCAATCCAAAGTTACAAATTGTTACAAATAGTTACAAATCCAAAAATGGCCATACTCAAGCCGCATTTTTATGTAGTATGACGTAAATTAACCCGCTGAACAACATTGAACTGAGATATTTTCCCCTAAAACCAAATCCCGACGAGATACTGATCATTCAATGCCAAAGTTACAAATTGTTACAAATTGTTACAAATCCAAAAATGTCCATACTCAAGCCGCTTTTTTACTTAGTATGACGTAAATGGACGCGCTGAACAACATTAAACTGTAACATTTTTCTCTAAAATCAAATCCCGACGAGATACTGATCATTCAATGCCAAAGTTACAAATTGTTACAAATTGTTACAAATCCAAAAATGGCCATACTCAAGCCGCTTTTTTACTTAGTATGACGTAAATGGACGCGCTGAACAACATTAAACTGTAACATTTTTCTCTAAAATCAAATCCCGACGAGATATTGATCATTCAATGCCAAAGTTACAAATTGTTACAAATTGTTACAAATCCAAAAATGGCCATACTCAAGCCGCTTTTTTATGTAGTATGACGTAAATAGACGCGCGGAACAACATTAAACTGTAACATTTTTCTCTAAAATCAAATCCCGACGAGATACTGATCATTCAATGGCAAAGTTACAAATTGTTACAAATTGTTACAAATCCAAAAATGTACATACTCAAGCCGCCTTTTTACATAGTATGACATAAATTGATACGGTGAACAACATTTGACTGAGACATTTTTTTCTAAAATCAAATCCCGACGAGATATTGATCATTCAATGCCAAAGTTACAAATTGTTACAAATTGTTACAAATCCAAAAATGGCCATACTCAAGCCGCTTTTTTATGTAGTATGACGTAAATAGACGCGCGGAACAACATTAAACTGTAACATTTTTCTCTAAAATCAAATCCCGACGAGATACTGATCATTCAATGCCAAAGTTACAAATTTTTACAAATTGTTACAAATCCAAAAATGTCCATACTCAAACCGCTTTTTTACATATAACGTAAATGAATACGCTCAACAACTTTAAACTGAGATATCTTGCAGTAAAATCAACTCCCGACAAAATACTGATGAAACTTTGTCAAAGTTAGAATGTTACAAATTGTTACAGATCCAGACATCTCCATACTCAAGCCAAATTTTGGCATAGTGTAACGTAAACAAACACGTAGAACAACATTTAACGGAAGAGAATTTATTATAAAATGAAATACCGAAGAAATATTGGTCAATATTTGCAGAAAATATCGTATATGAAAATGTTAAAAATTCTAGAATGCTTATACTGAAACTGCATTTCCAAAAGCACAACGTAAATTTAAACCTACAAGAACCTTTAACTGAGTTATTTTGTTCTAAAATGTAATCCCAACGATAAATTAATCACTTTGTACTTGACTTTTTCTTATGTTTACAGCCAAAGGATGCAATGTGCCTGGCCATTTAATTTATGAAATGCTTAATAAGCAAAAATTACAGTACATACTTTAAGCTATATATAACAAATATTAATCGAAATATAAAAATGGTGATCAAATATTCACAAAGTAGTGGTAACATTATTGAAACACCCACAGCACGTGAAGCAAAACTGTTTGGACCAGGAAAACTAGTAAAATATACTTGACATAATTTTAGCAAACGGTGGAGACTGTTGGTACTGAACATTAGAGAAACTGAAGATGAAATTATGTGATATTCATGAGAGTACCTTACGAAATAAAGAGAAAAATAACAGTTTCTTTCAATAATATTTTTTCTGACACAGTTTTGGAGCAACCAATATTATGCAGATAGTTGAATAAACGGCTCTTAATTAGCAGTTCAAAGAATTGAAAATAAATACCATTAATTAGTCACAAGCCGAAAGATTATTTGATAAAATTACACTTTAGACAAAAGAAAAAAATATTTCTCAGAAATCGAAAATGTTTTATAAATGCTTGGAAATAGATTTAATACAAGAACAATAATCCGATGATTGTGTTTCAACTGTTAAAAAAAGTATCTCTCATAGAGCAGGTCGGACACAAGACAGTCAAGTACATAGAGCACAAAATACTTTTTGAAAAGTAATCAAAAGTTGGACTGCCACAGTAATTGGCCTTCTTATAACAATTTTAAAATCATATTCATTAACCATCTACGAAATATAATGAACAAAGAAAAAAATTGGAAAAAATAACCCGAGTCCTGGGCAAAAAAACATTCATGTTGCAAAGTAAATGCTAATTATACGCTAAGTCTAAACTAGCTGCATTCTTAACAGTTTTAGCATAGACCAGTTCAGTTTAAAACAAGATATGAACACCATAAAGTCATCGAAGATAAAATGATTCTCCAATTGATAGACCAAAAGTTCAAAGTAAGTTACAATACTTTATTGAATAAATATCATAAATTGAGGAATACCGGCCGCAGTTGCAGTGATAACTAGGGCAACTGTGAGCAAAATACAGCAAACATTTAACAAAATAACAAACAGGTAGCGATGAGGGTATTAAAATGACCAACCATTGGAAGGCCTTGTAATTTGTTATCACAGCGCAAAGTACGCAATTATTTAAATAGTTTAAGCATAGTATAAAGACATTATAAAATACACGCCAGATAAGCAGATCAAGAGATCACTCATTATTGAAGAAGAAACAGTCTAAAATACTTAAAAATTGATAATATGGCCAATTAAAAACTTTGACAGCAGTTTGTAATAGCCACCACTGCATATATAGTTTACGTAGTATCTCCTGTATTACTCTCAAAAGTTTAAAAGAGCAATACCAAGAATTCGTTGCAAGCCGAGAAGAATTTGGGAAAAAAGGACACATATGACAAAAAAAAGAAAAATATTTTCAGAAGTCGAAAAAAAATTCTTAAGACATTTGGATAGTGCTAAAAGGTATAGAATTGTTCTCTGTAACGGTACAAACTTTTAAAAAAAGTCTAACGAGAAAAATAATCCGTATATCAGTAAAGTATTGTTCATAAATGAATAATATGTACAATTTTGCTACAGAGTCACTCCATACTACATAGTAGTAACCTAGAGAGTGATCGGCAATAAACAAATGGTCTACACAACAAGGAGATTACTTTTACGCCAAACATTTATTTTGAATTTAGTTATAAAATGATCACGAGTGTGAAGGTTAAAACCCTCAAAAGGTGAAAAAACAAGCGGACTCTATTAGGAACATTTCAGAACATCTTTAAACCTAACTCGCAGGACGTGTGGTCATTCTTTTTAAAATAATTAGGATAAGACAGATACGAAATATAGAACATCTAACAATTCAATTAAAATTCTACTAAATAACTGGTGAATAACATAAACACTTTAAGTAATATCTAGCGCATGTTTATACAAAGTATATTTATACAAAATACACGAAAGATTAATTAAACATGGAGAAATTATGATGATGACATATAAAAGAAACACCGTATTTCAATAAACAAATAACAGCGTAAGAAAAATAGGATCAGACCATATTTCAGTAAACAGGTAATAGAAAAAGAACAATACGATTGGCCCGTTTTTCAGTAAATAAACAACAGAAGAAGAAGAATAGGATCAGACCGGTATTTCAGTAAACAAAATAACAGCTAAAATAGAATATGATTAAACCGTATTTCAGTAAACAAGTAACAGATATAACAAAATAAGAATAAACTGTATTTCCGTAAATAAATAAGAGAGAAAGAGTAATAGAATTAGAACATATTTCAGTAAATAAACAACAAATTATGAATAATATGATTAGCCCGGTTTTCAGTAAATGTAAATAAATAACAGAAAAAGAAGAATAACAATAGCCCGTTTTTCAGTAAATTAATAACAGAAAAAGTAGAGCATGATTAAACCGTATTTCAGTAAATAAATAATAGAAAATGTATAAAAGCATTAGAAAAATAATTCAGTAAAAAAAAAAAGAAAAAAAAAAAAAAAAAAAAAAAAAAAACAGATAAAGAAGAATAAACATAAAAGAGATCGCAAAAGGAACGAGTAAGAGATTACAAAAAAATGATTAAGAACAGAGAAGGAAGAAAAGAAGAAGGAGGAAACGATATTGCAGATTAAGTAGAAGAAGGAGAAGAATAAAAAACGAAGGATAGGAGAGAAAGAAGGAAGAAAAAAAAAATAAAGAGGAAGATAAAGAAGGAAATATAAACGAAAAGAAGACGAGAGAAAAAAGAGAAAGATAAAATAAAAAAATAGAAGAAAAAGAAAGGAAAAAAGAAGAAGAAAAAAGTAGAAGAAGAAGAAGAGAGAAGAAAATAGTACCCCGAATGAAATTTGACAAATTTCCTCAAAAATAGCGAAAAATCGTGGCATTTCAAAAATGTATAACATGACCCCCCTTAGATTGGCAGACATGTTGTTACACACGTTTAAAGTCAAAAATTCCGATTTTAAGCAGGGAAATGAAATTTAAATTGTTTTTAAAATAGATTTTAGAATAAACTTTAAAAATCCCGCTTGGTTACGCTCTGCGCCTTTCAACAGGCTCTCGAATGGTACTAGT